TAAAAAAGACATGATTAACCAATCAACTTGTTTGTGGACAAAGAGAGAGGAAGAGTTAAGGGCTAAAATGTCTTTAAATAATTAATTATAAAAGTCTTTAAACTTAGTATTCAGAGGTTACAGATCCTCACACCACAAATACATTAGGTTGATTCACAGTGTGGCCATCAAAAACCCAGAAAGCAAATTACTTTTGACCAAAAAGTATACATCAATAGCATGCTAAGAATATTTCATGGAGTAGGACACAACAAACAGAACTAATCCTCTCGGGAGCCTAGCATGGTTTACTAATGGACAATCCACAAAAGAGAAGACCATCTCCAAAGTACGTTCTTTATACCGTAGGCTTTGAGTAATCTCTAGAGAAGTGGGAAAAATGAAGACTTCTCCTCAGCACTTCCAGTCTAAAAGGACTGAGCTAGCTGCAAAATCATTTCCTTGAATATCTTTGCCTTGAGGGGGGTTTTCATCCTTCCCTCACCACTCCAGGTGAGGCAGAATCACCAAAGTTATGTCAGAAAGGGAATCTCATCATTCCCATTCTTCTGGTAAATGTGTGTGATGGTGTGTTACATGTCCAATAGTTTATCCAGAAAATATGCCAACTTCATGAAACGTGGATCTGATGATACGAGCAAACAGTTTTTTTTTTTCCTTTGCAATTATCTTTGTCTTTAGATTTAAAATGAAAATCCTGGCTTGATGGAGGTATTTACAAAGGATTCCCTGCCCTATATAAGCAGAATCATCCAACTATGATTCTGAACTTAGCTAGGGGGAAGGAGGCAGAGGATATGGAATACTACTTTACTCCAAGAAATGTTGTTTTATAGCCTGAGCACACACAGGTCACAAAGGTAACAACGACTGAACAAACACCAGACCCAAAGGCCAAGCATAAGGAAATGCCACACACACATACCAAGAAGCAAACGCTATCATTAATAATAATAATTATTGTTATAGCTGTTATCCTGATGAGGCATTGATGGTTCACTTGGGTGTAATGTATAATACATTAGCTAGAAAAAAACATGGGTAAACGTACTCTTCTCTTTAAAAGGCAGTTTATATTCTAGGTTTATATGACATGAGTTACATAATCCAATACCGCATGTAAGAAAAGGATGCAGGAAGAACTGAAGACTTATGTCTTTATTTCAGTTGTTGTGTTGTTAATATCAATCTTAAAATAATGATGAAAAGGTGAGCTGTTTTAAAATACGGCTATTATGGGTTATGGTAAAATATCGTTGCAGCTTAAAATAGTACAGTGGCTAGCTCCTACCTATCTTTGCTTGGAAGACCTGCCTCAGTGCCAAGCCATCAGATCCATTTTTGGCTTCTTGAGGACATCTTAATGACGGTAACACCACGTCAGGGTAAAGGAGAAACAGGAATGATCAGAAGACTGAGGGGAAGCAAAAACGAAATGGAAAGCAAAAAAGAGTGTATTGTTTACACCATCCAGTCCAGCAAATTTTACAGATGCTTTCTGTTTGCTTGGGATAGTTTATTGCTTATGTTATATTTCTCTTCTTTCTTTTTTTTTCCATGTGCTTTCCTCTACCAACTTTGGCTGAAAATATTTTGTATGTGTCCATACTGTAAACCCTCATATTTTTCTAGAGATTTAGTGTGGTGGAGAAGCTTTTTTTTTCTTCCCCAAGGGTTAGGCACATCAATATTCTAGCTACTCACTTTCGAGGCCAATGGAAAATGTGCTCCTAAGATTAAATAGACCTGAGTAACACATAAATTCAGTTTATACTGATGCAGTATGTTACACAGTTACTCACATCCTGAATTTCTGATGAGTGGAATACACCTGTTGCATAACACACTGCTAGTGAACAGTCACTGACCTGGAATTTAAAGTCAGAGAGGCAGGACAAAACTCTGAGTCTAGTTCTCTAAGGAGAGCCTGATTTGCACAGAGCATTCCTCATCTGTGGAGCTCTGTGTGTAAATGATCTAGTCTAGCTGTGGAAAGCCGAGTCATAGAGGGTTCTTTAAGTATTCTTAGAACAAACTAGAGCAATACATACAGGTACACAGGGAGCACTCTTTGTTCTGCAATGCACCATCTCCCTCCAATCCTGCTTCCCCAAACATAGCCCTTTTTTAAAAAAATTATTCAGACTATTAATATATAATTCCTTCCTTTTCAGACTTCCTAAGTGCCCCCTTAGGAAGAAACCCTCTGTTTCTGCCAATAAACCTTAAAAAACTATATACTTTTAAATCCAGTGTTAGGTTTGATTTAAGTAGGTTCACCATATTTATCCAGTATGGGTTGGCCAGCCACACTGGACTTCTAAGTCATCAGAGGAGTGTTTTCTTCTCACCTCAGAATCAGAATTGTATATAACACAGCATACATCCAATAATGAGTATAATTAATGCTACATAGGTCTGGCATAGAAATTATCATCCTAAATTTGAGTCACATAAAATAAGTGCCAAAAAAAAAAAGTTCCTCCAAGAAACCTAGCCAAAGCTGTGAACTCTCTCTAGCCAACCAAATGGCCCTATGGCTTACAGATGTACCTGAGAATATTATGAAACACACTGATGAGCTTTTATGATCAATTGTTACATTTTTAGAAAATATGATGGCAGTATACTCAGAAGAAAAATAATCCTGTAAACAATAATCAAAACTATTTATCTGAATGTTTTTAACATTATTATGTAAAAAAGTCCTGATGGGCCTGAAATGTTGATGGACTAAATGCTATGATGTCTGAGATCTGCTTCAAAATAACATGGCACTAGCACCAGAAAATGACAGGCCACGAGTTAATCATTGTACAAGGTGGGTGTTGGGTATATGGGAGTTCACTGTAATAATCTGTCTGCATTCACGTCTTTGAAAGTTTTCATAATTAAAAATTTAAAAATATATACTTATTTGAATTTTATTCATTTACTTATTTATTGATTGATTCATTTAGTCTTTATATGCAAGATATTGTGGAAACGTAAAAAGTGAAAAACCGAATCAAAAACCAACGTTCCTCTTGGATATTTAGGTTATATAAGCTATTCCTCGTCAGGAAAAGTATATATTTATTTAAAATGATGTTTCTAAGGACTGTGTAATTACATGTAGAATTTTCAGGTTAAATTTTGAAAGCAGGACACAAAATTATATACAAAGTATGATTACAGCATGTTTAAAAAAATATATCCCCAGGGGAAGATGAAAGTAAGGAAATATATCAAATGGTTATTAATGATTGGATTTAAATTATAGAAATAATTACTTTAATTTTTCTTCATTTTACTCCTATGTGTGTTTCCAAATTATTTTTAATGAGCATGTATCATTTTAAAATGAAAATAAATATTTATTCATTAGTGGATAAGATGTGCTCTCCTTTCCCAAGGAGCTTTTCATTTGCTCAAACAGAGAAACTGCAAACACACAGCATTGCCCTGATAGTTTAAATCTTCATACCTGGAAGGGAAATACACCCACAGGAAAAGAAACGTCAATACAGATTTTATCTGATCATAGAAACATAAAGAGTTTCTCTGTGTTGGATAGAAATAGGGGAGGAACTGGCTTCTTTGCAAGCCAGAAAGAGTGTGAAATTCAGGCCGTTTTGTGATGAGATCATTTTGCAATGAATGCAAAGGGAGCGACAAATGAAAGTTACCAAATAAGCCGGTCCCTTGAGGTCCTGACGCTCACGCTGATATGAGTTTCCTTTTGGGCAGCATAACAAGCAAAGCATGGGAGTGCGAGTGGGGAGGGAGGGGAAGTTACAATCTTAAAGGCTTGTGGCCTTCACTGGCGAGATGGATTTGTTCAGAGAGACAGAGATAGATGTGGAACAGAATTAGAAACAAAAATACAGTGACAACTATGGATTATGTGCAACGGCTATGGAAAGTCCCTGTTTGAAAGCTATCTTTATTATTCCAAGAGATCATTTTCCTCATTTTATGCACATTCATATAAAGTGAAGTCAAGAGTGTAACTTTTAAAGGTTTGGATGAGTATGATGTTCATGACTAAATAGGCCTGGCTAGAGCCAGGCAGAATATCGTCAAATGCCAGGCAAGTTCCCACTTCACTCCTCCTCCCTCTTGGGTATAGTCGCCGGCGCATTTCAATGCAGGCCAACCTCTAGCAAAGTCAGCTCTTTCTGGCTCTGTCTGACTTGATGAATCTCTACCACATACCCTCAGTTCTGACCCGCGCTGTCCTCCCAGCCACTGAAATCTCGAGTTCTAGAAGACCACAATACCAACCTTTTTGAAACTTTACAAATTTTCACTAAAAGACACGTAGACCTTAAAGCGTCAAACCAGGCTCACCTGCAATCCCGGTCTTGGTACTCTTACTTAACTGTTAAAGGGGGAGTGGCTATATTCATGTTCCTAAAGGGCATTTTCCCTTCTGTTTGTGGGTGTACACAGAGCAATCATGTCTGATTTTAAGATTGATCCAAATGAAGCAAATGCCTTTCAAATTTGCAGCATGTCACAGAATATAATAGGTAGTTCAATGCATCACAAAACGTATGTGGAGAGTTTTGTGTTTGTTTGCTTAATGCCGAAACATCTAATATTCTGCACTGGAAACATCAGTGCCCAACTTCACCATATCACCCTCTCTGTTCACTCAAGAGTCTCCTTTGGAAATATATCTCTCCCTCTTGGAGAGTCTTCCAAACAAGTCCTTTGAATACTTCCACCCCTATGTAGCAAAATCTTTGTAAAATATTCATCAAAATCAGTGATAATATGTTCTTGGGATCACGATTTTTATCATTCTAAATGATGGCATTTCAAATGAACAAATAGGATATGAAAGATGTACCCTTCACCAACATCAAAATATGTTCTGATCAAATTTAGTACTTGAGGTGGTGGACTCATCACGCCTTCCAGTCTAATTCTTTCTAAGGTTTGGAGAAATATACTTGACTTCTTTGCAGCTCAATATTTTGGACAGCCATTTAGAGACAACGAAACCTACTTACCAGACAGTAATGTCGTGAGGAATATCCAGTTAGTGATGATGAAACTTTCTGAAATGAAGAGAGTACGGTAAACATGAGGTATTTAACGAATGTACGACAACATGGCATTCATAGAAAATAACTCATTGACTTCTCACTTTGGGACACTGACTTGGTGATATTATATAAAAAGCAAAGGATCTTTCCCTTTGGGAATGAAAATACAACTGTGCACTGAGAAAGTGGCTCTTGTAACTGCCTGCTTGTTTAACTTCACAAGCTCTAACCAGTTGTGAATGACTTGCTGCCCATGTCTGCAATTCACTGTAACTTGTGTTGAGAAAGTTATGTTTTATGGTTAATTATCCATGGTCTGTTTAAAAAAATAAATCAAACCATTGTGAACCACCAGGATTTGCAGCTCCATTTGAACTTTACTGTACTTTTGATTACACATTTTGTAAATAAAAACTAACTGGTTTCTCCTTGTTTTTGGTTGTTTGTTACTTGTGTTCTGGATATAAATATTGTGGCAATGGTGGGGGAACAAGCGATGGATTATTTACCCCTGGTTTCATGAGTTGTGAGTTACTGGCCTTATCCTCCTTCATGAGTATAAATAAATGTATAGTATTATATTCCAAGTCCTGTAAGACAAATGGAATGAGTGAAAGGAAACCTTTTAAAACCAAAACCTTTTATCCTAAGACACAGAGCAACAAAACAAACCCCAAATTAACATTTAAAATGCTTGTATTGTGGAGCAACAAAATCCCCAAATATTATACAATCTGCATGTTAAAAATTGCTTGCCTAACGAGCAGCAGTCTATCAATAAATCCACATGCTTGTCTTTTCACTGCTTTTATAATTTAGAAGCCATAGGTGGTTTTCCCAGATATCATCTCCCACCCCCAATATCATCACCAGAATGAAAATAGCAAGTATAACTAACTTACGCCAAAATTGACTTAGAACGATCAGGAATCATTGATGCTAAAAATAGAAAAATACTATATAAAAGAAGAACTCTATGTAAAATCTGTCTATAGTCATCATCCTAGGACCTACATAAGTAAAAAAAGTCTAAAAAACAATTTCCAGGGATCATGAGAAGAGTCGAGATTCAAAGGACCCCGTGACAGAGTGCAAGAGGAGTATATCTGAGACCCAGGATTCTAACAAGTACCTAACACATTTGCATATGAAACTTAATGAGGATCACCAAAGTAGCTTGCCAAAAATTATGTTTTCTAAATGAGCCAATGGTCTATGCAGCACTGACCATTAAAAAGGACCTCTAGGAAAGCTATAAAATAGCCTTCTGCAATTTGCAACTTTTATAAAGACAAAGATTTTCTTGTAAAATGGGATGCTCTGTCCATTGCTGAAGCTTGAAGAACGCTGTAGCCCATTTCATCTTACCCCTTTATTACTCGCATGGCTTACTGCTTACCTGTATAAGCACTATGTGGGAATGGCCACAGCAGCTCACCAAAACATGGTAAAATATTTATGAAGCATCTACTATGTGCCAGGCACAACTAGAGTGTTTCTGCTTGAGAAGGTAAGTCAGTGACTGAGGTTCTTGTTGCAGCATTTAAAAATATCTATTACTACTGCCAACAGCAATGAAAAGCTGGGTTGAAAGAGTTGTAAAGGACTTCTGAAAAATTGGAAAATGTTTAAAACTCTCCCTAGCTTCTTGCATGCCCTGGAAATAGAAGGTTTAGGCCCGCCAGCCTTTCCTAAGCCTGGATCCCATATTGCAGAAGAAAAATTAGCAGTCTATATGTTTCCAGGGCCGTGGTTACAACTGAAAATGAGGGCTGAACAGAATCAGCTGGCATCTATTGGGCAGTGAAAGGTCAATTCTGCCCTAAGTACGGTTCAGAGAGTGCAGAAACCCACTGAGATGAAAATGGAAGTTATTTTGACAAACTGAGGCAGGAAAAAATTTCAAAGATGCTTACTCAAGGATGTTTTTGGTCTATTTCTTTTATAACTGGATCCTCTAACTATTTTGAAAACAAAGAAAATGCTCTTCTATAGACTTCTAAGTTTTCTTTTAAATCCAGGCAACCCAATTGAAAATCAGGCTACCTTAAATGACTTCCTGTATACAGAACTACACACCAAAAATAAGTGCCTAGTTACAGATAATCAATCACGTCAAAATTACATTATAAAGAATATATTTTACATGGCGCAGATTTCATTTTGATCATCAGGTACGTACACACAAAATTGCATATTGTAATCCAAACTCAGCTATAACCCGTGTAGAGGGATACTTAGAAAAAAATATATGTGTAAATGTTAATTCCCACTTAAAGACTAGAATATTCTGACAAATTTTCACTAGTTTTCGACAAACAAATCTACCTGAACTATAGATTCTTCTAAGGGAAAAAAAGCTGAAAGGAGATGTATTTATAAAATACTTTAAAAATATATATTAGCTTAGCCATTACTCATATTAAGGCAACAAAAGTTGTCTCCACATGTTCATAAATATGGAGACATGATAATCCCAATGATCATGATCCTTCAGTTGTTGCAACAGAAGGCCTCACATTTGGGTGATGAAACCTGAAAACCACACAAAACTCTTCTGGATTTTTATCTTTATGCACTAAGTTTTTCCATACAAAAGGAATCCTAAATTCAACAGCTAACACACAAGAGAAAGTTAAACAATTAGGAAATAGCCTAAATTCTTTTTTAAAGTAAAGGAAAACTCACCTCTCACCTTCAGCAAACTCAAATGAACCAATTTCATATGGCCTTACCAACCAGAAGTAAAATACGACCTAAAGGAATGAGACTGATCCCAAATATGAGGAGATGAAGTGAGTCAACCTATCTTACTCACATCCATCCTCTCTCCTGCCCATTTTCACCTTTTCCGATTGCATTAAGAGCAATCAGAACTACCACCGCCTCTACTCCTCACACACCCTAGCAGATGCTAGCAATGCCTGGTGCTGTGCTCTTCATCATTTTGTATCCATATTATAACCATTTGATAAGCAGAAACTGAAAAGGAAGAACAAAACAAACCCCAAACGCCTTCCAAGCTCCCTCATCAGACAACTGCCTGTTCCCAGATGTTCCCAGAGGACATCAGTCAGTTAAGTGAAACAAAATATTATAACGGGGAAGGAAAACTGATAAACCTCATACAAATCTCACTGTGTTCCCATTTGAGCTGGGAAGGGAGTCACTCCAATGAAAAAGCAGGGGGTGTGGGAAATGAGAAGAGCTACGAAGAGAGAAAGAGAAAAAAAAAAACTTTCAGTATACATTTGAGACTTAAAGGCAGGACAATGAATCCAAAGGTGTTTCAGGGAAAAGCTCTAAATGAGAATTCCAGAATCCACAGGTTCTTAAACGGAACTGTTATTTAGGGGGTGAATTCCGTAGGGAGTTTGAATTAAGTGTCTCTCCTGTAGCATCTAGATGTTATAAGACTTTGGGATTTGAATGTACTTTGTTATGAGAAAAAAACATAGGAGCTTTATACAGCTCCCAAAGTAAAAACCAACAGAAAGACAGGGTTTATGTAACTGGCTTTTTACATAAATATTACATCAGGATACATTTCAAATGAAAACACACACACATAGCCGTCTTCCTTATCCTCCTTCTATTTTAAAATTCATTTCATACTTTAAATGTTGTTGATTTTTCAAAAATAAGTAAAAACCAAGTCAGCATTAAACACCTCAGAATAATTTTAGTCTTATATTACCTGGAAAATTCACCACATCATGGAGAGTCACAAAATCCTGTTTTAAAGCCAGTTAAGGCACTGACAATTATGGGATGTTTTGCTGCAGCCTAGGGCAACTAGAAATGGCCATGGATGTTAACTAACTCCCTTCTCAACAGTCTGAGAAAAGGGAAAAAAAAACTGTAAGTTTCCCCATCTGTTATTTCCTTTTTTTTTTCTTTTTGGCTGTGGAAAAGTAAAATTATGCAAGAGCTTTTGAATGTAAAGGCTGTGTGTGCTTTTTCCCTTTTTGTCTCTGTGTACCGGTTATGTGATGTTGCGTAACTGAGTACAGAGTAGGCGGGTAGCGTTTACTATTGATTTACACTATGCCATCTAATGAATTCAGAACACTGAAAAGAAAGGAGCGGGAGGGGAGGGAGGAAAAAGGAGAAAAAGAGGAACAGGGCGAGGAAAAAGGAGGAACGGTGGTGGGGTCGGGGGGCGGGGGGGGGAGAAGAGCTCATTTAGAGAAACAATTCAACGCCTCAAATGGTTTCATTCTTATTCCCTCTAGCTCTGACTTTTGGTTATTGTTCAGGTCTCAGAAAAATGGTCTGGAGCTAGTGACCCCAATACTCCAATCTTATTTCTAATGGGGATTACTGGCAGGTGAATGTCTGAAAGTACTAATGTGTCAAATTACTTGAAAGCAATTCCACTAAACTGTCAGACTTCTCCATATGCACCTATCTATCATTCTCTCTATGCATTTGCGAATCTGTGTCTGTGATAGCCAATGCTATGGTCCAACCAGTTTACCTAGGCACAAATATTATTTGAAAGACACACAGGGATATCATCAGGGCAAAGAGAAATATGTTCTATTCTACCCATCTCCTTTAAAAATGCATAAAGAATACATTTAGAAATCTTTAAATAGGACACTATCTTACTTTGAAAGAAGATATGCCACAAATTATTTGGCTAAATAGAACAGCCCTACACATGATAACGGAAGAGAAATGGGCAAAATGAAGAAAGACTCTAAACTGATAAACAATACTTGCAAAAGAAATTTAAATAACTGTAATTTCTTATGTTATCCTTATGGAGACCACTTAAAATTTAACTAACTGTAATTTCTTATGTTATCCTTATGGAGACCACTTAAAATTTAACTCTTCATCTGGATGATTATAGACATTTCCAGTCCTCTGAGGCTGCTAAGTGCTTCCATGCCTTACAACGAGTTCCCAAAGCTTAGGCCAGAAAGTAAGGGTGAGGTTAATTCTGCTGCTAGTCACAGGACTTTCTTGTACCTGAGGGCCCTCCTATGGCTGAGAACATCCAC